TTTACCTCTTAATAGTTCCATTAAGAGACAACATCTGAATCGTTAAGAGATGAATCTTGTTTGACAAAATAAAAGTCTTCCTCTTAATAGTTCTAAAACCCTCTGAATGATTTTGTATCGTGGGTCTTCCTTAACCATTCACCGCCCTAATTTCATTGTAAACAATAACCAAACAATTATATTTCATTATCATTCTGCGCAAAACTATTCAACAACTACCAAATAGCCCCTTAGTCTAAACATCGTATTTTCTGAACCGATAAGCTAATATAATATTATATTTTTCGCATGGTATATACATAATAAACTTTTACGTAAGTAATAAGTATTTTGTTCTCTACATAAATGTTAGAATTTTTTAAAAAAGAGTAAACTGTCGATTTGATCACTATGGTTTTAAGTTTGTCTTGGATTTAGTCTTCGATGTTTTTTATTCCAAAATGCCCCTGGAGTTTGCACGTTTGTAACGTTCTAATCCTTCCCACTAACGACCGTTAAACTTCTATTTGTTAAATGAGTGACATTCTAGTCATTTCCCATTTTTTTAGTTTTTTTTCTTATTTAAATAAATTAAAAAAAAAATCCCATATCCACCCCTCTGTCTTCCATTCCCCTTTCCTTCAAACCTTTTATGCTCGTATCCACAACTTGCAAAATTTGCAGCATCACCTACTGTTGTGCCTTGTCGTGTTCACCAAAAACCTCCATTAAAAGCCTGAATTACTTTAATGTTAAATTATTCAATCACTTGTCCAGTTAATTAGCAAAAACCCTAAACACATATTGATCTAAACCGAATTAGAACTGAACCCATACTTAGAAGTGGCGTATCCAGCCATCGGGTTGTTCTTGCACTAAAAAATATTTTTGATCGGGGTACCAAATAGGGTTTGAGGAACTTGCAAGAACAATCAAGTGTTTAAGCCCATAAGAAGTATCCCGATTGTTGTCATGCATCTTAGACATTGATTTACAACATAAGAAGGTTGCTCATAAGGAGTCTATCAGACTTATGGGTATGCTCGCAACCTTACACCATGACCTCATTGGTCCACACGTGTGGGAAACGGTTGGGATTTTTTAGTTCGAGTTTTGTATATTAGGGTTCTATGTGTGTTTGCCGAAGAATAGGGCAGTGGGAAGAGGGGGATGGAAAACGAGGAGGAGGTATGTCAGAGTTGCAAGGGAGGGGGCGAAGAATCAAAAAAGGGGGCAAGGTGTTAAAGAATCTAAAAGGGGTAAGGGAAGGTAGCCGAAGTTGTAAGCAGGAGGCGAAAGGGTTCTTCTGGTTTTGGGGATTCGACGGCTAGGCTCCAGTGGGGAAGAAGACGGGTGAGACTGGTTTTGAGTACAGAATATATACGTATAGAGTAAGTAACAGTTTAGGTTCTTGTGGTTTTATAATTAAATAATACAGGCCGGAAAAGACCAAAAATGGGAAATGGCCAAAATGTCTCTCGTATAAAGGATAGAAGTTAACAGCTGCTACTGTTGGTAGTGATGACCAAAACGTTATGAAAATGAAAACTCTGAGGGATATTTCGAAAAAAGAAAATTTTAAATTGGAAAATAATATATAATTTTGGAATAAATTGGAATTTAAAATAATATAAAAAATATTATATTTAAACAAAATGCATGATATTTATACCTGAATTAGGTTGAACATTTCCTGTATTTGACTTTTATATAAAGAATCTTGTATATATTTAAATATTATATAATAAGAAATAAATATTGTTTTTTTATGAACATAAATACGTAAAAATATAAATAAATTGATTAAAAATAAAATAAAAACAGAATCCATCTGATTGCTTATAACTTTCTAATTGAGTCATTACTTAATATCCAAATTTTTTTTATTAACTTGGATATCCAACCCGTTATGCGAGCCGACTAATTCTAGGACGACCACCTGCTTTGCAGATAGTCTGGAGTCACCGCATTTGAACCTCCGTGGCCACAAAGGGGATTTTTATTCCTACTTGAATTTGAACATGAGACCTCCTGATACTTTTGATATTTGGAGTCAAGCTCAAACCAATCAGGCACCACCCTTGTTTAACATATTAATTGTTTATAAAAATGATAAAATAAAAAAAAACGTTGACATGTCACTCTAACCTAACCCATTAAAAAATCTATTATTGATCCAAACCTGTTTTAAGTCATTGTTAAATCTCACTGCTGACTCGTCCAGTGGCAAACTTACCTTTTAAGGGGTGGGGCAGATGCCCCCATTCAAACCGGTTTTAAGGAAGAAGATCTCCTATCTTCACGTTGGACATCATGAGGATTCAGTTCATTTGTGTGGATACCATGGAGGCAACGAGCTGATGCCCCTACCCCGTTTCTTATGGATCTTTGGAGGGTTATGGTAAATTTTCGCTGAGTGTATGGCTCCCGTATACCAACAATAACCATCCAACCCAAACCCGAAGCAATTCAAAATCTGAAACCCAAAATCTGGGGTGGGTTTCATGTCTGAGATCTGATCGATTTTCGGTTTCCTGTCCGAACCTGTTTGTCCCTCCCGATACACACCCCTAGTGTCGATAACACACATTATGATGTATATGGTCCTTAATTTCATATCTATAATCACACTCTTTTCTATTTCGTAGCTTATAAGCATGATTTTGGTTTTTCTAAATGCTTATTGGTTTTTGTTACCCCCTCCTAATGTTATAAAATTTAACCATAAAGGTGGTGTCTAATTGGTTTGAGCTTGACTCTAAAGGTCAAAAGTACCAGGAGGTCTCAGGTTCAAATCCAAGGAGGAATAAAAATCCACTTGTGGTCACGGAGGTTCAAATGCGGTAACTCCAGGCTATCTGCAAAGTAGGTGGTCACCCTAGGATTAGTCGGCTCGCATAACGGGTTGAATATCCAGGTTAATAAAAAAAAACTTTATGAAATTTATATTTCGAGACAACCTAGTTTTAAAGTTTATTACAAGAATCAACAATTTCAACCGTCAATTCTTTTTTAAAAAATTTGTTACATCAGTTAACGGATCTGATTTACCATTATCTGTGTATTATAAAGTAGTTAAGACTTCAACTTTTAAGAACTTCTAATTCATCATGAATACAAATGTTAAAGCTGTATGCACAAATCAGTTATAATATCCAATAATATACGATTGAAAAGTTTTTTGAAACTCATATTACTTCATCCATATGAACAGATCAAGTTTGAAAAATCTCAGTCCATTTATCTCAATTTTAAATAAAATATAAAATATCTTAAATATAACTAACTTTTAATTTAAAACAAAATAAATAAATAAATAAAACGAGCATTTTATTCTCTTTAACTTGATATACACATACATAGGACCACTCAACATGGACGGACCTATGTATGTGGTATAGGTGGCACGTGCCACCATATTATTTCTCCGTTGAAGGGTAAAAAAATTAGGTTTCGTAAACGGTGTAACCGTATTAATTTGTTGTGTGTCACCGTATGTATTTTGAAAGTACAATGAAAACAAGTTTTTATTTGGTAAAGTTGGTTTGCAAGACTTTTATTTCACCCCACACCCAAGTCCGAATCATGTTAGTGTCAATTTCTTAGTCAAACGGTGCCATTGTTTGAAAAAAAATTCCTATATATATTTTTTGTTATGGTCAAATGATACCATCGTTTAAAAAAAATTCTTGGTCCGTCCCTACCACTCAAGGGAGAACTGAGATTTTATGAGATCTAATTTCAACTACAAAGTAATTTAAATCAAGGATTAAATTAATACTTTTCCTAATTTAAAAAAAAAACGTCCATAGGGGTCTCTCCTCTCCATGGAAACACCTGTGAACAAAAAAATACGATGTGAATTACTATCAAATATATTGTTTCAGTTAAATATTATAATCACATGTTTTACTACACAATGTAAACACAAAAACACCAAAAAGAAACCCCAAAAAATAACAGTTTGCTGTAATGATATTTCTTGTTCCACCAAAAAAGGTGGAACAACATGGGACTAAAGTTAAAATGACAATATTTTGGTTGATTTGTTGTCATTTTACAATCATTGTATGATATAAAATAACATTGAACAATATTTAGGGATAATATGGTCATTTTAATAGTTTTATCATGTCATGTCCTAGTCGTACCAAACATAGGACAGACAATTAATCATGTCATGTCCTGTTCCGTCCCGTCCCATACCGTCCCGTCATGTTCCATCCAATTTACGTACCAAATACTATCTGAGTGACCAAAAAGTGTCACTTAAGATATGATTTTTTAGAAGTATAAAAATGGGGGAAAGGAAGAAAGGGGGGTTTCTTCCATTGATGGAAATGGAATTGATCTTGACCATCTCTCTTTCTTGGGTGTGTCGTTGAAGCGTTGTCGTGCATGCATTTTGTGCATCTATCATCTATTCTCTTCGCATGCACACACGCTTTCTTTCTCTCTCTCTCCATCTATTAAATTCCCTTTTTTTTTTCCTCGATATAGCTCACTCATCAATCAATCATCAAAATAAACTCCACCTGTACCATATAACCACCGCCGCTACAAGTTATCCACCGTTTCCCCACCACTCTACACCGCCGCAACACCCAAATTTCTGCTAGATTTCAGAGGCTGCACTCTTTCTCTTGCGGCATCAGTCAGTATTGTGTATTTGTATATGTTTGGTGTGTTATTCTCTTCTTTTTAATTTGATGGGTGTGTGCATGGGTGCATTTCGATGTGTTTAATTTAGTTGATTTCGATCCGGACGATTACGGTTTGGTGGGTTACTGGTTTCGATTGTGTTTTTTTGGTAAGTTTCAAGGTTTGATAGATTTTATCAATTCGGTGATCGATTTGATCGTTTTAATGAATCTCGCGATTGTTTGATTTGTGTTTTCTTCTGTTAGGGTTTTGAATTGGGGTTTTTGCTTTCATATGCATGGTTTAAGATTAAAAGATCTGGAGATTTAGATTAGATAAATTCGAGGGTCAAATGTCGTCGTCGAAGATTTGCATGAACGGATTGTGCGGAGCAAAGATGACTCCACAATGGAAGAGAGGTTGGCCCATGAAGGCCGGCGGTTTCGCTACTCTCTGCTACTCTTGCGGGTATGTATGCTTATCTCAATTTTACCCTTTCTATTTTTGGGAATTTTACGTAATCGGCGGTATAGATCGATGTCTTCTGCAAGGGCATTTTGGGATTCCGATTTTAGGATCCCTAATTTAGCTCCTAAGATCAATTCCCCTGTAATAAATACTTTAGTATTATGATCATATCCTGCTGTGATTTTGGTAATATTCATGTTCTTGCATTTGTAATAATATTTAAAGCTTTGACTTTTTTTCTTCTTATCCTTTGCATATACAACTGCTACTGCATGAGATACAATTCAATCCAACAGGGATTGCAATATCCATAAGAATGGCCTCTTTCTATTATTTCCCCCAAATGTAGGTTTGTTAAAAAACTACTGGATGGGTATAATCATATTATCATGGCACTGGGCAGGAATACCATCTACAACCATTGCTATAAACTAAAAATTGATTTTCATCAATAATGCAATGAGCTTGTTTCTTGTTTTTTGCATACCCAATATATAAAGCGGCCTGCAATTGCATAAGAATGCGAAGTATTACATCGTGTGCATTGCGTTTATCATCTATTGTTGTTGGTAGTGTTACAGTTGTAGGAGATTGATTGTTAAGGGGATGTTTGGTTGGTTTTCCATTAAGTCCTGTATGGATAAAGCTGTATGTATGGATTGATCTATCTTTATTGGTAGGGTTTTTTCATAGATGGAAGGAGCGTGTTTTTAATTGAGAGGGGCAGGTTTGGAAAAAACTTGGCTTTCTGCATAAAGCTTCCCTTCATAAGCTTTCTGAATAAGCCACTTTCTATACCATTAAGCGACTACCAAAAAGTCATGTATAGCTGACTCAATAAGCTGTAAATCCTATTAAGCTCATTAAGCTGATAACAAACAGGCTCTAAGTATTATATAGTAGGGAGATCACTCTCCATTTTATGTGGTATGTGTCTAACTTGATAATGGATTAATAATGAAGATATTTCAAATCCACAGTATCTGGTAGCGAAACAACATGAACATAGAACTAGATAGAATCATCTAAATTAAACCGTGGGGATTTGTATTTAAATATATAATTAGATGGCAGCCCTCTTCAATGCACAGCAATTTTACATCAGATGAGAAGAAATCAGTACCATGTCGTTTTGACAATGATTTATTTTTTTTCATGTATGTGGTTTAGCATGTTAGTTGGCATGAATTCCATCTTGCTTGTTCAAGTGATCATTAAGCCAACAATTTTGTCAACAATTGCTGAAGACAATCGTAAGTATGAGCAACTTCTTCAGGTCACATGCCCTAAACAGTTTGACCCTTTGCCCTTCAAACATTTTGCACATTAATGCATTTGAATTTCCTTGCTTTGTAGAATATGATGCTGAATGGTTTTGTAAGACATGATTTTTCTCAAGCATTCATCCTTGTCTTGTACTGAAAGCTCATCTGCCCATTTTGTCATGATTATGATTCTGTTTTGGAATTCCTTGTGCATTTGGCGACAATTATAATTTTGTTTGTAAACCGTAATTTGCTTTAATACTCTGTGTGGACCTTAGAACTGCCTATGAACATGTAAACTACTGTGAAAGATTCCACCTGAACGAACCTGGTTGGAGGGAATGCAAATTCTGTGATAAGGTAATTCCAAATCCCCAATTCTTGAAATATATAAGAACTTGACATCTGTTCTACTTACCAAGTCTCTTTGTGTTTGCTATTTAGCCTGTTCACTGTGGATGTGTTGTGTCGAAGTATCTTCATGAATGCCTTGATTTGGGAGGAATATCATGCATAAAATGCATAAGAGCTAGGGGAACACAAGCTCTAAAACCAATACAGGTAATCAATTGTTTGGCATGTTGCAATATTATGTTTATCTAATCATTTGTGATACACATGTGAAGAAGCCAAAGATTGGCGACTTCACTGTTTAAAAGCCATTATGTCACCACCAATGCTAATTTGTTCATAATATTTGATGGGTGACTTAAAGTTGAACTTTTAATGAAATCATATCAGGCTAATTTTGCATCCTTACTAGTTAGTAGTGTTGTTCTCAATTTATAAATCTTGTGTGGTTTCTTTCTGATGACTATGGGACAGTCATGGACAAAACTTTGTTGTTATAAGGCTGTTCTAATAATTTATGAAGTTGGTGAAGGATTCCAACTACTAGAGATTGTGATAATCTTTACTTAGATGGTGCTGATTCTCTTTTGCTATTTTATATTTGATGTCTCAACTTTTAAGTTGATTGTTAATGCAGAGCTACCCTAGTGACATTCCTAATGGCTTTGTTCCATTTTCCGGCACTTGGCATCCCTCTATCATTGGTAAGCGAATGAATGGCGGTGCTAGCGTTGATAAGGGAAAACTCACACAGTTAAGTGAAGCTATAGAGAAACATCAACCTTCTCCTTCGAGTTCATCCATTGGTCATCAGATCAGACAAGATGAGAACCGTCTTCCTTCCGGGGAATTAGGCATGGGATTTTCTTCTAGTAAAGATGTTGGCACAATCTTTCCAAGTTCATCGTCTTTATTTGCCACACCAGATAACGGCAGGCCAGATTCGGGTTTGAAAGCACTGTATGAGGCAATGCCTCAACCATCTTTAAGTTATTCTCTTGCTAATGCCCTGGCCACTACAAAGTCTTCCGTACTCTCTAATCCTAGTGGGGTTGTCGATGGAAGAGAACCAGAAAAAGTTCCGTCTTTCAAACAAGGGCAAAGATCACGTCTTACATTTCCGAAACCATCTAAATCTGGGGTTAGCATACGCTCACAGTCCAACAAAGGGATGGTTTCGGATAATAGAGTTGCCAGACCACCTGCTGAAGGTAGAGGTCGCAATCAATTACTTCCGAGGTACTGGCCAAAGATAACTGACCAGGAACTGTTGCAAATATCTGGGGAGTATCCTTGGTTACTTGTCTATTTATATTCGTCTTCAGCTTTTGGGGTTAATAATTAATGCAGTATTGATAATTTCTGAACTACTAGTAAGCTTTTTGGTCTGGTGTGCTTATACAGGCTATTACTGTATCACACAAACATTTCCCTTTTTGGGTAATATTTCATTCTAAATTATCAATTTGCTGTTGTAACACTACACAACTAGTATTCAGTTGAACCAAAAAGATCTACTTTTTACAACGGGTACTTGGCATTTGGTGATTGTCAAGTGTTTCACTAATATGCATTTAGGGTCTAATGTTTTAAGTGTTGTGTAACGGAAGGTCTTGTTAATCAAACGAATGGGGGAAAAGGAAATATCGTTCTGGAAATTGAAATATGTGTACCCTGTCATTAACCAGAAAGATGGTGTTGGGTACTACATATGTGAAAAAGCAATGTTTTCTCTTAATTGTATCTTCTAGCTTGAACTCCAACTGCACTATTACTCCATTATTCGAAAAGGTTCTGAGTGCAAGTGATGCTGGTCGAATTGGTCGGTTGGTCCTACCTAAAGCATGTGCTGAAGTAGGTTTTTATTTTCTTTCCCTTTCCTTTTTTATCTTTTCCCTTGCTCCAACTGCATAATGATCAAATATATGTGCAGGCATATTTCCCGGCTATTAATCAATCAGAAGGTTTACCAATAAGAATTCAGGATATAAAGGGGAAAGAATGGACATTTCAGTTCCGATTTTGGCCCAATAATAACAGTCGAATGTATGTTTTAGAGGGTGTAACCCCTTGCATACAGAATATGCAACTGCAAGCTGGGGACACAGGTATGCTTCCTTTCTTAGAATATATGCTTTCCTGGTTTGAACTTACTCTAAATGGGTAGATAATTGATGAAAATGTCTTTTTGGTTTTATTCACATAGCGATTTGGATTTTTCTGGTTGTAATTTACATGTGTGGCTTGTAGCTTAAACCCTTTTAGCTTGGTACCTCTAATATTTACGACATGTGTGTATCTTTTTTGTATTCTTTGGAATTTCATTTTCCCGCTCCTGGTGGTGTCGAGATGCCACTGCTTGTGTGGACATCCATATTAAATGATAGGAATAATATACACAAAGATAGAAATTGAAGAAGTTTCTCATAGTTCATCAAAGTAAAAGAAGAAAACAGAAAAAGCAAAACCCCAAATCAAGGGATCTTTTTGAGTTGAGAATGCGTAAATGAAACGAATCCAAAGAGTTGTAACACAATATCAATGTGAATGTTAACAAATTTTTTAAGATTAAATGGTTGAAAATATTCTCTTCATGGGAAGGCTTCACTAGTCTTCTGAAATCCTATATCTACTCCAACTTCATATAGTTGGTTGCTTTGTATAATTATTGTTCCACAAGATCTTTCTGGTAATCTACAGTAACATCTTACTTCATAATTGAGTGGTGGCTGTAAATTTATCTTGTACTCTAATGTTTTGCTTCTTTTATTTACTATTCTATGTTTTCAAAATTTTCTGCAGTTATATTTAGTCGACTGGATCCAGGAGAAAAGCTTGTAATAGGTTGTCGAAAGGCAGCAGTTTCTGCTGATACGCAGGTAATCCATTTTCAACATAATTTGGTGGCATAATTCTTTGTGCTATGTGTTTGGTACATTAGACAATACGGCACAAAAAATTGTTGTCCTACGTTTGGTGCGACATTAGACTTGGATATGACAGGGCTGAGTGGGACAAACTTGCATCTTTTTGTCCCACCAAAATAGGTGGAACAAGAATGAGGGAGATGAGACAAGATTGGTAAATTACTAAACTACCCATGTCAAATTAAAACCCTAAAACCTTCCACGGTTCTTTCACCTGCCAACCTCTCGCTTGACATTTCTGTCCAGTCCCGTCTCTGTACCAAACAAATATTACTCTGCTTTTCTTTTCATACCCCAACAAAACTTCTTCCTTTTATGTATACTAGTCGACATGGACCAAGGGTAAAGCTGGTAGCTGTTTGAACAGTTGACATTTTTTTGAACTTCATGAATAAGAAATGGGACATGTAAAGTGGAGCAGGGGACACACACACATTTATACACATTTACACCTATATTTTGTTAATGATTGGAAATCTATGATATAACAAGCAGGAAGCTGAAACACCTGCTGTTAATGGTGTTACTGGTGGAACTTCTAGTGGGACTGGAAACCCATCCACGGTATGTGCTTTCATATGTTCTTCCTTATTCTTGATGATAGTTTTTTTGTGATCTGATATTTTTTTTCCTTTTCTGTTCTTCACTGCTTATTTTCACCTCCACTAATCATCAAGTTACACTTGTTTGACAGAAAAATTCGGAGCACGAAGGCATGAGAAATGGGGATTCAGTGCAGAGACCAGTGATCCAAGAAAAGAAGAAGACTCGTAATATAGGATCAAAAAACAAGAGGTTGCTCATGCATAATGAAGATGCCATGGAGCTGAAGGTGACATGGGAAGAAGCACACGAGTTGCTTCGCCCATCCCCTACTTCTAAGCCAACTGTTTCCATGATCGAAAATTGTGAATTTGAAGAATATGATGTAAGCAGAAGATGCTATCCATCTAATTTGAACCAACTCTTTGAAACGGCTGCATCATTTGTATCATGATCATTTTATATTTCTTGATATACTCTTTGGGGTCCGTCATTCTTCTGTTTTCATTTAGGAACCACCGGTTTTTGGCAAGAAGACCATATTCACAGAGCATGCATCTGGGTGAGTTTCTTTTTATCTGTTAATGTTATTGCCTTAGGAATGGTCAAAGATGCTTTATTCATATATGAATGTTAACTTCTTTCAGGTCTTCAAGTTAGTTATTAAGATTTAAGTGTCTAGTATCTCATGTGAAACATTTGTGCTCATTTTTTCTACTTCCTTCTATCATATTGTAGCCTCTGCTTGATAGCTCTTTTCAACTTGGCATTCTGGCCTGGGGTTCCCTTTGGGATTTGCTTAAAGCCAATCAGGATTATTGGGTTAGGCTGGGAATAGTATATTAAGCAACATGGTAATTGTTAGCCGAATTAGAAACTCAATTCACAAAATATCATCAGTCCAATCATTATCAGCTTCTATCTCTTAAACCCAATATTATTTTAGAGTAGTCAAGCATAGCTATTCGTCTAAACGCAAATTGGGCGACTTTTGCACTTCTTGTACTAACCGGTAGTAAATAAAGAAGTGGGGTTTTGGAAATCCCAGTAGTTATATTTTTATATATTAAAATGAACTGCATGATGAGTCCACTTAGCATCTCCAACGGATTCTCCGAAATGGAGAAAGTAGAGATTTTGGAGTTGTAACCTATTTTTTCCTCCAACAGATTCTCTAAAAACGGAGAAAGTAGGAGAGAGAGGATAAAAATCTCCAAATTTGAAGAACACTTTAAATTAAATGATTAAGAAAGAATTCTTTTTTATTGAAGTTGAATGTATTATCATTTTATATAAGACTTAATTCGAAAGTTTCTTGGCATATTAAATCTATTGAATATTTTAATGATATGAGAAATCTCCAGTGCAAACTTTTTTTGGGAGATTTTAACTTTTGTTTCTCCATTTTGGAGAAATTATAGAGAGATGCTCTTAATGCTTTTATTTGAACACCACGGTTAGCATGTTTTTCCAATCTCGTACATATTAACTTGTGCAAAATGTGCTTTTTAATCATGTGAGCTACTTCAAGAAGGGTTGTTGCACGTATAGTGAAAATTTATCCTATTGAGCTTCTGCGGTGTATGCTTCTATATGAAAATGTTGTATTGTTAATTGTCGTATAGGTCGCAAGAGCAATGGGGTCAGTGTGACAGTTGCTCCAGATGGCGGAGATTACCTCCGGATGTTCTTCTTCCTCCAAAATGGACCTGCTCTGATAACATATGGGATCCAGATAGGTAATAGAGATTGCAATTTGCAAATCAACTATAATAAAATCACCTCAAAATTGCTTCTAGAGAAATTTAAACTAATAAAATTGTATTGGTATTGTCGTGTTACATTGCACCAGGTGTTCATGTTCTGCTCCGGATGAGATAAGCACAAGGGATTTGGAACGAATCTTCAAAGTTGGCAAAGGTATGAATCCTATATTTCTAGATGTGTATATTTTCTTTTTTTATGCTGAATTCAGGTATGATACTGTAAAAACCGACCCTTGATCATGGTTCAAAAGTTCTCATTTTGTAGTCTGATTAGTTGGATTTAGTTATGCGAAAATCTACATTTGAGCACAAGTGATCTGCAAAATGCATGTGATATCATTAATAATTGGAGTCCATTCGCTTCCATGCGATCTATTAATATCATCAATCATAGTGGAATCCTAAATAATCAAATTCTATGGGTCTGATTGGTCTGACGGAATGATTTTGAGGTTAATTCATCGTGATATGATAAGCAGCTCTATTTATTTCTGTCCCATAGGTTTTATTTTTTACCTTAGTTGATTCAAATGATGGGTTCGTCGGATTAGCTTTGATACCGAATTTTTGATTGTTTGGAATTGGAAGGACTTGGCATCATTGGTGTGATGTTTTGTAAGATTTGGAATAGAATTGAATTCCATTCTTTATAAATAATTTATATATAAAAATAATAATTGAAGTACCTTCTTATTAATTGATTATTACAAACAAGTGCTTTCAACGTATTTTAAAACATCCTTACAAACAAATCCTATGAAATCCCGCTAAATACCAACTACCCCCATGAGATTTCTAAATCCCATGTTTGTGGGATTTCAATTCCGGACATTCCTATAAACCAAACACGCAGTTGGAATGGAATCACCAATTCCAAATCCCACAAACCAATGGGCCCTAAGAAATGAATATAGTTTGTGTGCCCTATTTACTTGATCCGACCCACTAAATGTGAAGTAGAGAATGAAGGATAATGGTACATGTGAAGGTATCATGGCTTGTTTTGAATTATGACTATTGGACAATAAGGTGCGTTCGGTATGCATACAGGACCAATAGGTAAGGTAGGTGGGTGAAAGAATTGTGAAATGTTTTAGGGTTTTAATTTGACATGGGTAGTTTAGTAATTTACCAATCTTATATTTCCTCCCTGAATTTGTTACACCTTTTTAAATGCATTTTTGTCCTGCTCAATCCTGTCATGTCTTATCCCAGTCTAATGTCGCGTCAAACATGTGACAATAAGTTTTTGTTCTGTCTTGTTCTGTCCCATTCTGATGTCTAAACGTGTGACAAGTTTTTGTTTAGTCCTGTCCCACCTGGCAAATGCACATGGACCTCGAGTGTCTTAAGATAAACATTGAAATTTTGTAGCATGATTCTTCTGTTACTTTCTGATGATTCCCAGATCTGAAGAAGCGAAAGCTTGCAGAAGGAAGGGTGGTTGAAGAACCTTCCGGACTGGACGCATTAGCCACAGCTGCGGTACTAGGCGAAAGCATAGGGGAATTCGGCGAGTCTTCGGCAGGCCCCACCACGAGACATCCCCGCCACCGGCCCGGATGCACTTGTATCGTTTGTATCCAACCCCCTAGTGGTAAGGGAAAACACAAACCCAATTGCTTCTGCAACGTTTGCTTGACGGTGAAACGTCGTTTCAAAACGTTAATGCTGCGTAAGAAGAAACGGATGTCGGATCGGGAGGCGGAAGTGGTCCAGAAACCATTGGTGGCTCTTAATAACGGGATGATGTCACCTGGCGGCAGAATTATCGATCAAAACGGGATGGAAGTGGAGGTGGGTGAGAGCAGCAGCAGCAAAGGAGGAGGACAATTGGATCTGAATTGTGATCCAGATAAGGAAGAAGAAATGATGGCGGTTGATGATGGTTCTGGAATTATTCCTCTAGAATGGAAAAATGTGCTTGCAGGACTTGTTCCCTGTGCAATGCCCAAACGTACAAATGAGATTGAAGGACGTCCGCCAGTTGAAGGGGACCTTAACCCTTCTTCCTCCGAGACCATCCCTACCCACCCTCCGACCGACGAAACCGCAAGCCCGATGGACGATGATGATGCAGCAGCAGCAGCAGCAGCAAAGGTGGAGATGGAGAAAGCTGTTGAAGATGGGTGATATCGGAAGCAAAATCCAGGTGTAAACTTATGATCCTGAGTTCTATTAACTTTTTTTAAAGATTTTCGCATCAGCCGCCATCTGCCGCCGCGTTACGTCTCCGGTAGATGGGTTTCTGATGTAATGAAGTTTGTAATTTTTTGAGTCTTGAAAACATATTTCTTTTTGTGGGGAATGTGATTGGGAAACTGGAATGGAGGATGGAGATGGGAGAAGAGGCCTTGAAATGGAATGAAATCCAAGAAAAGTGAGTTCAGATTATACATATACATATATATATATATATATATATACATACATACATATATAGGTGGAGGTTCAAACAAGAACACCTCCATTTTATGAGAACACGAGAACACCTATATTACATGTGATAATACACGTGAGGAGACCCTGTGATGTGCGGACGACGTGTTCTACGACTTTGACTGTGCCTCTGCGTCTTTCATTTAACATCACATGTGATGGTTTTAATGAATTATAGTATCATATCAACAATAACACTTGTGAGGGGGCTTAGTGGTGTAAGGGCGACTTGGCCCGCAACCAAGATCACATCGAAAATCGTTCACATCTCTAATTTAGTATCACATGTGTATCATATGTGATGGAATAATAGTATCACATGTGATTGTCTATAGTAAAAAGGTGTTCTTTCGTTCTCGTAAAATAGAGGTGTTCTCGTTTGAACCTTTCCCACTACACATATACATATATATATACACACACACATACATACATACATGATGCAATGGAAAGCCCCGCTTCGGCCCTTAAACATGTAGCATGCTACGATGGGAGACTAATAAAAGTACCATTTTCTTGTTTCTTGATGAATCATATGTTTTTTATTGTCCAAATAAACCTCCTCCTTTTAGTAAGTATATGTAAAATAATTAACGTACTTAATCATTTTAGGGGTCGTTTACCCAACTCTTTTTTAATATCGTTAAGATTCCATACTTAAACTCAACTTATTGGGTAAGATTTTAATTTACTAAACGATAGTGTATGCAACATTTTTATTTGGTAAATGTTTACCGTGTAAGAGTTGTCACTCTTACTTATTGGATAAGACTATCGGTTCTTGTCATCGTTTTTCTCGACTAAGATTCACAATCTTTATCATGTTTATCATAAAATGACTAGATAAACACTTACTAAATTTCCTTAATATCTTAGGAATAAGAAACGATAATTTCAACTCGTTTACTTGAAAATCATCAAGTTACATGATATTTTATTTGTCACGTGTCAAATTAGTAAAATAAAGAACATGTGATTATTAAATCTTGTACATGATTTTATTAAAAAATTATTATTACTATTAAGAATATAATTTTTATAAAAATGTTTATATATTAATCAAGGGTAAAATGCATAAAATAGCAACATACTCTCATAAAAAAAATTATTATACCATTGTACTTTCAGTTTTTCTTATTATAACAATGTACTTTCAAATTATTTTTATTAGAGTATTATACTTTGAAATATCTATCCAATTTAACAATGGGGTAACTTGTTATCTTTTAGACCGGTTAACCCCACTTCTCTTTGCTTACATGACTTAATTGAGGTGACATAGATGACATGTCATTTTGATCACATGCCAGTAAATAAAAAAATATCTTCTCCAATTCTTTTGATAACTTTCTCAGCTTCTCTATTAATAAATAATTTATAAATAATCTAAATAATATAATATATTTATTAAATAATATCTCAAGTTAATATTTTTAAAACAAATGTAATGTATTTTTTTCAAAATAAATATTTTATTTATAATAAAATATATGACTACAAAAAATCATTTGTTGGCACAATTAAAACGACGTTGAAATAAAATATTAAAATATATAAATATCTTTAAACAAAAACTAACGTAAGAAAAACAATAGATATGTGACCATTGTCGAAGCTCTCTTCATTGTCCTTCCTTTTTGTCTTAAAAAAAACAACATAAGAAACTGAGGGGCTGTTTGTTTGGCTCTTAATGGTTACATTAAGAGCCAACCTCTTAATCACTAAGAGGTTAGGTCTGTTTGGCAAAAAAAAACAACCCTCTTAATGGTTACAATAACCTCTTAACCATTTTGTATCTACTACCTCACTAAACCATTCAGATGTTTATTTTTCCAACTATGCCCTCTCTCCCGTCATCCTCACACATCGCTCACAGCCCCTCCCCCACCCTACGATCGCCACAGCCTCGTCTCCGGTCGCCTCGTCGCCGTCGCCGTCGCCGTCGCCTCGTCTCTGGTCGAGGGTTTGCATCTAGTTGCCGCCGCTCGTCGCCGCCTCACGTCGCCGCTTCGTCGCCGTCGCCTCGTCGCCTTCCACAGCCTCACGTCGTCGCTTCGTCGTCGTCGCCTCTCCTGTCTAGGGTTTGCATCTCGTCACTGCTGTGTCCTCTCTTGTCTAGGGTTTGGTTTAGGGAATTTAGCATTTTTCTTTGGAAATTGATGGTGTTTATTGCTATTTTCATGTTTGTAACAATGTTAATGATGATTGGATTACCGACATTTTGCAATTTCTTGAGGATTTGTGATATTGATATGAAGAACATCTTTTTTTTTATAAAAAAATGTTTAGAATTGATTGTATTTCTTGAGGGTTAAAATGGTAATTTGCTGTCATTCAGAAAACAATTACTAAACAATTTTGTTTCATTCAACATTTAACCATTCTGACCCTTTTAGCCATTCTAACCTCTTAGCTATTCTGAACTAAACCATTCAGCAACTACCAAACAGCCCTTAAGGCGATGGATTGGTGCTGCCCACAATTCCTATCTACTTTCACTCCACTGTCACCTTTTTCGTTTATTCCCAAGTACCCCCATACAATTCCTACCAACTTTCACTCGACTGTCACCTTTTTCGTTTATTCCCTAAGTACCCCCATACAATTCCTACCTAGTTTCACTCGACTGTCACCTTTTTCGTTTATTCC